ATGGGTGGGTCGATTAGGTCCCCGCGACGAGGGGTCATCGATGCGATCCTCGCTACGAAGGGGGTCGCACCATGCTATGCTATGCTATGCTATGCTGGGCTATGCTACGCTGGCGATGGCGACAGTGATGTTGGGAAGACGGATGTGGAGAAGGATAGGGTTTTTGGAGGATGCGCGACCTGAAGACCTGCGACTAAGCTTCGGCCAGTATTGGGGACCCCCAGGCACCCCGGCCCCCCCCGGGCACCCGGGCACCCGGGCACCCGGGCCCGGCCACCGAAATCGACCACGCACCTCACCGGCCACCCGGGCACCCGGGCACCGCCGGGCACCCGGGCACCCGGGCATCCGGGCCCGGCCACCGAAATCGGCGACGCATCTCACCTAACCCTTTAATCCGCTAGGACCCCTACAGAGGCAAGCTCTGATTGGGGAATGATTCCGGAGAAACGCCCCACTCATCATCTTTTTAGTGCTATAGGGCTCTGGTGCTATAGGGCTATCGGGCTATAGGGCTATAAGGCTGTAGGGCTATAAGGCTATTGGGCTGTAGGGCTATAGGGCTATAGGGCTATAGGGCTATAGAGCTATAAGGCTATAAGGCAATAGGGCTATAGGTCTATAGGGCTATTGGGCTATAGGGCTATAGGACTATAGGGCTATTAGGGCTATAGGGCTATAGGGCTATAGGGCTATAAGGCTATAGTGCACATGTTATAGGCCTAAAGGGCTATAGGGCTATAGGGCTATAGGGCACCCGGGCACCTGGGCACCCGGGCACCCTGGCGTGCCGCCGAAATCGGCGCCAAACCTCATTTAACCAGATGAATCCGCCAGGACCCCTGTAGAGGCAATCTCTGATTGGGGAACTTTTCCGCCGTCGGGGACGCCTGCCCCTGGGCGGCTGGAAAGATTATTTTTCACCGTTCTTCGCCCGTTCATTCCTGGGAGGCGTTCCTGGGTCCGCGCGCATGTGCGGCGTCCGCCGAGTGCTTCGGAGGAGGGCCAGTTGAGACAACTGTTCTTCTCCCGCCCAGCGTAAGTCCGTTCGAAATCGGTTCCCTGACCCCTCCCAGGGCCATCCTGACGTGTTTTCCGAGGCGGATCCAGTGACGCCGAGACGCCCCCAGGAGGCTCAGAAAGGACGAAAAACGCCAGGGAAGGAGCTGTTGCCTTGACTGGCCCCCCCTCCGATGTCCCATTCTGCCCAGGGCGGTTACCCTACCCGTCCTCTGCGGTCTTCGCCCCTCCCCCCCCCGACTCAGTACGTGGACAGATCAGCATGCGTGACACTGCTGATGTTGTCGTCACGCTTGCCCTCCCCCTCCCGCTCCTCGTGCAGAGTGAGACGACGTTTCTGCATTCAGTCGACGTCACCCCAACATACCTGTACCATGTGTGCGTCGCCCCCCCAGCGGCGACGCGCGCACCGCGAAATCCTATAGTAGATGTTTGGGGGCGGGCGCTTTCCGGCCACACCGCTCGGGAAACGGCATACTACAAGATGGGTATAACAGATGTTCGGGTCGGACGCGCGCCTCCAAGGAGGACATACAGTACTAGTACGTCTTTGTGCCTCCCTTTCAGCTGCGAACGTTCAGGGTTCAGGCCCGCACTCGCGATCTGAGCTCCTGCGTCTATGGCTACAGTGCGGTCCCAGCTTGCAATGTATCTTGGGGAGCGTTGCACTGCGACGGCGCCCCCCCAGGGAGGGGGGGGGTCCAGCGCCGATCCAAGAATTCCGCGCGGAGCGCCGAAACTTTTTGTGTATGCTGCTTCTTGTTCCTCTTGTTCTGGCCTTCGCTTCCCGCCTCCCGCCCCCCCACCGCCTGCGACCCTTCCTGGAGCTGGACGTGGGCGTGGGCGACCCGAGGTGCGATGGGATGACTATCTGCGTAGATTTTCGAACGCCCATTTTGAAACAGACTGGCTAGAAGCGACAGGTGGTCGTTCTCTTATTCATTGTTTTGCCGATCGGCGCGGGCCCTCGCACCCCCCCCTCCCCCTCATGGAGTAGATCTTGGCTGTTTGTGGCGACTTTTTCGAGCAGACGGAGTCCCTCCCCCATAGGACGCACTGTTGCAAACAGTCGCAGCAAGCACAGGTCTGGAGCCAGACCCCCCCCCTCCCCCCCCTCCGCCCAGTGTCGAAACGCCGAATAAGCACACGTGCACCAGGGATCAGTGATCTCCACCGGGCACGAGGACGACCGGGGCGTTTCTGAATCAGGCGCCAGCAGTAACCACCTGAAGTCCAACACAGTCGCCGCCGTCTCTGGGCCGAGCACCGACTCGATCCGACTGCCTGCCTGCTGCCTGCCTGCCCTCCCCCCCCCGCAGCTGTGCCAAGGCGCTGGTGCTCTCCTCGCTGCTCGGGGGCCTGCGGTCGCAGCGGCTCCTCGTGGGCACCCCCGCCCTCCGCCCGCGGCCGCGCCGCCCGGGCACAGCTGGTGCGGCTTCCTCCCCGGCCCTCCTGCGCCGGGCTCTCGCTCTGGGCAGAGTGCTTCTGCTGGATGGGCCTCAAGCTCTCCGCCGCCCGAGGGGGTGTGCGTTTGGAGCAGGGGCACAGCAGAGACACGGGTCGCCTGGCACTGGGGCGGCGGAGAGCTCGGGGCGGCGCTTCGGGGAACAAATGACGACATGCCATGAGCTTTCGGAGGTCGGCGCGGATTTCTCGGATTGGGTGCTGGAGCTCCCTGGCGGCGCCTCTGGCGCCGCGCCTGGCGCGCTCCAGGCTCCGATCCGAAAAATCCGCGCGGAGCTCGAACAATTCTTATGTGTCTGTCAGCCTCTGTTCCTCGAGCGCTGGGTTCTCGTTTTGGATCGAGCGCTGCTTTCTCTCTTTCCTCACCGCTCTCCCAGGGCCCATTTCGAGCCGGTCGATCCGATTCGATTTCGATTCTGGCTGGCCCGATCCGATTCAACTCCGATATTCGACGATTCGATGCGGCCAGATGCTTGCATGGCGCTGATGCCGTGCCGGTGCAGCCAGGTCCGACGCGCATTTCGAGTCGATCCGTCTTACCGATTCGATGCTGCCTGATCCTGCCCCCGGCTCCATTCTCCCTGCCTCCTACCTTCCATCTGCATCCTATCCTGTCTCCTGCCTCGCTTCCTGAGGGGCTGGGAACTGCGCAACTGTTCCCCTCTTTCGTGGCATCCTGGGAGCTTGAGCGGAGTGGTGTCGTGTGCGGACCCAAGCAAGGCCTCGCCCTGCCTGGGGTCTGCGAATTGCGGATTTTGCCAGCAATTTCGTGGGTTCCTGGGAGGTCCAGCGGAACTCGCCCTCCATTGGGGTTGCGAATTGGGAAACAGTCCTCATTTTCATGAGCTCCTGGGAGTCCAGCGGAGTGGTGTCTCACGCGGGCCCAAACGAGACCTCGCCCTGTCTGGGGGTTGCTTCGGCACATTCGTCATCCTGTCTCTTGATCATTGTGGTCTCTTCCGTGACCATGGCTCCTTTGTTGCAGACGGGTCGGGTACGTTGCCAGGGTATCCGAAACGATTGTGCGCGGTGCTAAAAAAGAGTGCAACATTCAGGAGGGGACACGCACATACACAAATGGGAAGTGCAAGGGAAGTGCAAGGGAATACAAACGTCCAGAACATGTGGGGAAAGTACTGCGGATCCTGGGTCTTGTGTCTATTTATTTAATCGCTTCGCTCATTTCGCGGGCCCATCTTGCCTCGCCGCATGGGGGCCGTGTTGGGGCCTCTGGGGGGCATTTGGGAGGCAGTAGTGGGTCCCCTCTTGGTGGCCGTATTGGGGCCTCTTCGAGCCTCTTGGGGGCCTCTTGGGGCTTCTTGGGGTGCCTCTTGGAGGCCCCTTGGGGCCTCTTGGGGGCCTCTTTGGGTCTCCTGGGGCCTCTTGGGGCCGAAGGTTGGACTTTTCAGTTCCTGGTCCCCGTCTTGGGCCTCTCTTGGGGCCGTTTTGGGGCCCTCTTGGGCCATCTTGGGCGCCTCTTCGGCTGTCTTGGGGCCATCTTGAGGCCGTCTTGGGGCCCTCTTGGAGGCTTCTTGGGCCGTCTTGGGGCGGTCTTGGGGGCCTTGGGCCGTCTTGGAGCGTTGGAAAGCCGAAAAGGCGAGACGAGGCGTCGGGCGGCCCGCCCGGCTGGCCCGACCCGCGCGCCCGGCGCCGGGACCGAAAGCCCAACGACACCACCCCACCTACAGCCCTCCAGGCTGCGCTACGGCCCATCGGGCGCCGTAGCGTATGCCACGCAAAAACCCACGCCAGATTTCCTGGTATACGCTAAGCCCCCTGGTGCCGTAGGTGGGGTGGTGTCGTTTGTTTTCTGGTCCCGGGGGAGCAGGGCCCAGCCTGAATGCTGGCTTGTTCTAGGCCTCCCAGATGGGGTCCGAGGATCGCGCCGCATCGCCGATGCATCGGCGATACGGCTCGATGTGGAGCCCGAGTTTCCCCACGCCGACGTCGCCGATGCATCGCCGATATATCGGCGATGCGGCGCGACCCTGCGACCCCATCTATTCCGACCCCATCTAGGAGGCCTCTGGTCTTCGGCGATTTCGTGTGCCGTTTTCGTTCCAATGTCCTTTTGCAGCAGGGGCGGAGCGAAGGCCTAGGTAGAATGACAATCTCAAAGCAGCTGCAGCTGAAGTCGGGATGGATCTTTTTGTCAAGCAAAGCGCTGGTTCACCCCTCTCCTGAGAGTACCCGTTTCGCGCCAAGATGCTCGGTTTCTTTCGTTCTGTCTTCGCTACGCGGAGCGTAGACAGAACGAGGGAAACCTAACACGCCAACCGAGAACGAATAACATTGTTTCGGTCGAGTCCCGGGGAGGAGGGGGAGAAGGGGGAGGAGGAGAAGGAGCAGGAGGAGGAGCAGGAGGAGGAGGAGGAGGAGGAGGAGGAGGAGGAGGAGAAGGAGGAGGAGATGGAGGAGGATGAGGAGGAGGAGGAGGAGGAGGAGGAGGAGGAGGAGGAGGAGGAGGAGGAGGAAGAGGAGGCCTTCTGGGAGGTCCTTCTGGGGCTCCCCTGGGCCTTCTGGGAGGTCCTCTTGGGGCTCCCCTGGGCCGCCTCGGGGCCCTCTCCGGCGGCGGGAAAGAGGAGGCGCGAGGCCCCCGCGCGCCCCTGCCGCGAGGGGGCTCCTACGACGGCGACCGGCGCCGCCTGGAGCTGAGGCGCGCCCCGGCCTCCGGCGGGCAGGGGCCGCTCCCCCTCAGGGTCGGGGGCGGCCAAGAGGGGGGGGACGACTAGAGGGGGGTGGATCTCATGACGGGGGCCACGATGTTTCCCCGGGTTTCATGGCGTCTCTGCTTATCTCATTAGTCACGTACCCCTCCCCCTCCCCTGGGCCGCGCACATGCCGACGGCCATGATTCGCGCCCCCCCTCCTCTTGGACGCCCCCCTCTTGGACGCCCGCGACAGGAAGGAACCCGACTAACCTCAGGAGGTCTTTAGTTTTGATCCCCCCCTTTTCATTCGACGGTGAACAGGACTGGTCCTAAGACCTCTTCCTCCTACTCCCCCCTCTCCCCCTCCTCCTCCTCTTGCTCATGGGGTTTCTCAAGACTTACGGGATGAACGAACGTAAGTTTTGCGCCGGACGGCGCGCGAGCAGTGTGAAACAAGACATGACTAGTGCCGAAGAGCTCGGCCACGCGCAGAGGGGGGTAGGGGAGAGGGCAGGGTTCTTAGCAAGAGGCTGCCGCTTAGAAGGCGCGGGTCTTTGTCTATAAATGTAATTAAGGCGGGCGCCTTCTAAGAAGCAGCCTCCTTCTCAGAAGCCTTCCCGTCCAAGGCCCCGTTGTGCGCGCGGCCAAAGAGCAGTACTATTTGCAGCGGGGTCCATTTCTTTACTGCCGACTCCGATGAAGCCGCTGCTCTGCCGTCGCGACAGAAAACAGCGCAGACAAGGCCTCCTGGAAAACAGCCGCGGACAGACTAGAGCTGAACACATTGTCTCGAATCGAAGAAAGAAAAGGCATATCCCAGCGCAGGTTCTAGAAGTTTGCTCGGAGCTCCGGAAGTTTGTGCTTATGCTATTCTTTGTTCCTCGAACGCTGGGTTTTCGTTTTGGACAGAGTGTTGCTTTCTCCTCTTCCGCACCCCCCTCTCAAAGTCCATTTCCATCCGATCGGCCCATTCTACGCTGATTATGCCCCGATCCGATTCGATTCCGAAATTGCGACGGTACGATGCGGCTTGATTTTGTTCTTCGATCGAAGCGAAGACAAATTTTGGCCTCCTGGAGCCCTCACGGGGCCACAAGGGCGATCAGACGACGGCCCGCGACAAGATCGCGGCCCGTGGGGGACGGGAGCCCAGACCTCCTGGGGGTCCACGCTGCGAGCGAAGTCGCGACCTCGGAGTTCTGGCTGCTCCAGTCCTCCCTGCTGCCTGCCCGACGCTCCCTGCCCCGTCGCTCGTGCTGCCTGCTCGCAGCTCTCGGCTCGGCCCGCTCCTTTCCCGACTCCACTCCCGCCCTCAGCTCGTCCCCTCCCGCTCGGGCTCCTCCCCCGGGTATCTCCTCCCTCCTTCCGCACCCCTGCCCTCCCGCCTGTCCCCTGCCGATTCTCCGCCCCCTTGCCCGTCTCCGCCGTCCCCTGCCCATCTCCGCCCTTCCCTTGCCTCATCCACCTGCCCCTCTGCGGTCGCGACCCGTCTCTTGCTGTCCCATCCTGTCCTTTCCCAGCCAACCACGCTCATTCCGTTCTAATGCCATTTCTTCTTTCATCGCGCTTTTTCCCTTCCCTCCTTCCTCCTTTCCACCATTCCCCCTTCCTTGCTTTCTCCTTCCCCCCTCTCCCCCTGACGCCTGCCAACTCCCGGTTTGCCCCCTCCGCGCTGCCTCCCCCGCTTCTGTTCCCTTCCCCTCTCCGCCTTCTCTTCGACTTGTCAAGGGAAACGTTTGAAGAGAGACGGCCTCACCGTCGCGGTGCGGCCATGGGCGTTGCTTCACGTAAGATTGCGAAGGCCTTGCGGCCAGTGCTGCCGCCCCTTTTGTGCCAGGAGGAGGAGGAGTAGGAGGAGGACGACGAGGAAGAGGACGAACGGGGCGGAGGATGAGGAGGTGGAGGAGTAAGAGACAACGGAGAAGGAGGACGACATCACACAATACGAATCATACTAGTACGAAGAGCACCCATAGCACGAAAACTATTCGTAATAACACGAGTTCACGACTAATACGACCAGAACTCATGCCACGAATAACAAGGCAATAAGACGCGCTATCCTTCGAATACTAAGGAGGATATTTCGAATACTAGTACTAACCATACGAATTGAACATACGCGTTCTAACGCGAATGCTACGCATGACAAGGATCTTGTTCGTAGTAGTAAGACGACTCGTACTAATCGCGGTGCGACGACGACTAACCATAACCATACTATTTCTATTACTAGAGCTTTCAGTGGTAACAATAGTAGTACTAATGTGTAGAAGAACCACCATATGGATGAAAAGCATTGCGCGAACAATTATGCATCCCAT